CCCACGGGACCACCCCGAGCGGGGACCTGCAGCCCCCGGGGCCGGGCTGGGAGCAGAGACCCTCGCCCGGCTGCCTGGCCCCGACCCCGGCCCCCACCCCGGCACTCACCCGTGACCCCACCTAGGACACAGCCCACCGGGGGCTCCCTGGGGACATGGGGGTGACCCCCCCGCCCTCGGGCTGCCTCGGGGTCGGGGTGAGGATCGGGTGGGGGCACAGTGGGGACCAGCTGCCCAGGGGGGCCTGGGGCCACCCTGCTGCATCCCGAGGGGGCACAGGGGGTCCTGGGCTACTGTGGGGGCAGAGCCCCCTGAGCACAGCCTTGTCCTGCTGGGTCAGGGCCAGGGGAGCCCCAGGTGCTCTGAGAGTTCCCACAAGGGCTGAGACCCCCAAGCTGGGGGTCCCCATAAGGGCCAGGCCTCCCCCACAGAACCCATAGCCTTTGGAGGTCCCTGGGGCAGGAGGGGCTCGTGGGGGTCACTGGGGGCTGGAGGGGAACTGTTCCCTGGGGAGTGAGTGGCCTGTCCCTGTCCTCATCCTGGGGTCTGCAGGTGTGGGACCCCCTGCCCTGTCCCCCCCACCAGCACAGGGGACCAGGACTGGGACCCAACTGGGGACCCCTCAGCGTGGAGATCCCCAGCCCTGTGTCCTAACCTGGGCACTGCCGTGGCCGGGGGTCCCTACGGGGTGCCTGCCCTGCAGCCTGGGACCCCCATCCCACATCCTGGGACCCCCATCCCGCATCCTGGGACCCCCATCCCCCATCCTGGGACCCCCATCCCACATCCTGGGACCCCCATCTCGCATCCTGGGACCCCCATCCCCCATCCTGGGACCCCCATCCCCCATCCTGGGACCCCCATCCCCCATCCTGGGGCACCTGGCTGATGACAGGCACCCCCTCCGGGGACAAGAGTGACTTCTTGGAGCAGCCAGGCCACGGTGGGACAGGGTGTGACCTTCCCGTGCCCCCCATGGGCTGGTGGGCTCCGGGCACGGGTGGCACCGGTGCAGTGATGGCACCGGGAGGGCGAGGCCCTGGAGGTGTCACAGCTCTGGGGCGGTGCCGAAGTGTCCCCGGCCCCGATGTGAGTGACAAACCACGTGGCTGGGCGTCAAAACAGCTCTGCCCAGTGAGACGGGGCGCTCTGAGGGCTCGGGGTGCTCTGATAATGCGGGGTTCTCTGAGGAGTTGGGGTGCTGTGATGTTTTGGGGTGCCCCGATGAGCCCAGGGTGCTGTGACAGTGGGGTGCAGTGACAAAGTGGGGTGCAGTGGCGGTCCCGTGGTGCTGTGGTGGTCCCATGGTGCTGTGTCAGTGGGGTGCTGTGGGTCCGTGGTGCTGTGTCAGTGGGGTGCTGTGGGTCCGTGGTGCTGTGGGTCCGTGGTGCTGTGGGTCTGTGGTGCTGTGTCAGTGGGGTGCTGTGAGTCCGTGGTGCTGTGTCAGTGGGGTGCTGTGGGTCCGTGGTGCTGTGGGTCCGTGGTGCTGTGGGTCCGTGGTGCAGTGGGTCCGTGGTGCTGTGTCAGTGGGGTGCTGTG